TTCCTGAGATGCTGTTTTTGAAAGTAAAACGTGCATAACTTTTACATAAGACAACCAATTGGTCTCGCATGGCAAGTTAAACTTTGGGAAAGGGATGGTGGGGGGGGTAAACGCATGTTCTACCCTTCATGGTATTCTAATGAAAGGTCTCATCGAAATAAATTGGTTTGTACAAACTATAACTTTCTCGTGCGACTCTTTTTCGGGATCAGCGAGCGACGGGGCCTGAGGAGGAGGGGGAGTTAAAAATTAATTTTATCTCATTGTATTCTAATTAAAGGTCTCAACGAAAGGAACCGTTTTCTACCAACTACTGCCCTTCTTTCTGTCCTCTTATCAAAGTACGCGGGGAGGGAAGGGGGGGGGGGGGAACTAGTTTTATCCTTCATGGTACTCTAATGAAAAGTCTCAACGAAAGGAATTAATTTCTACCAACCATAGCCCTAAGTTGTTCCAAATTTCAGCTGGGATTAAGGGAAAGGGTTTTACCAGAGCCTACTACTGATTTTACCCATACCTTATGTATTAAGAGTAACATGATTCAGAAAAAAAAATTGCTGAGGCTAGCACAGCCTGCGCATTCTGTCCAAACATTTTTAAGTTCTTCCTTTTTTGTCTAAGAATATGTGTACCAAATTTGGTACATGACGGGTCAACAACCTGACCTTTACCAAACATGTTATCAAATACTCAACAAGTAATGAAAGTATTTGAAATTGTAATTAAAAAATTGAAAAAGTAATTAAAATATTCACAATGTAATCAAAATACTGGAAATGTATTTGAAGGTAGGTACTGAAAAGACTCAAAACGTAATTAAAGTATTGAAAAGGTAATCAAGTAATTAAAAATTCCAGGTGTACACCATATTTAAGGAGTTGTTTCCCCTCGTCTTCGCCTACCAAAAATCAAATGGTAAAAAAGTTACATGAAAATCGAAAAGAGACCACCCAAAAACGTGTAAACTTACCTAGAAGGTTCGTTTTTGAGTGTGTATTTCTCGGTATATTCATAAAACAAGGCATACTAAGGAAATTATTTACTTTTTATAATTAATGCTCTGATTTTCTTACAGTTCTCTTAAGTGAAGAAATTTCAAACGAAGATTTGCAATTTAAAACACTTAAGATTACGGATTTTGGACTTGCGAGGGAAGTTTACAAAACGACAAGGATGTCGCAGGCGGGAACGTACGCATGGATGGCTCCTGAAGTGATTAAGAACTCGACATTTTCAAAGGCGAGTGACATTTGGAGTTACGGAGTACTCTTGTGGGAACTTTTAACCGGAGAAACTCCCTACAAGGGTATAGATACGCTTGCTGTGGCGTACGGCGTTGCGGTCAACAAACTTACCTTACCTATTCCAAGCACGTGTCCTCAACCATGGCGCGATCTTATGGAAGGTAAATTACCCTTCTACTTGTTATCTTAATAGAATACCGGAGTGTGAGGTAATCCCAGATGTATAAATTCTATGGATAGCATACGTAAATTTGACTTGAGAAAAATTAAGAGTGTTCTTGTCATAGTGCTTACATACATTTTCAGCCTGTTGGGAATCGGACCCTCACAGACGACCGACGTTTGAGGAAATTCTGGACGCTTTAGATAACATCGTACACTCTTCTTTTACGCAAACACCACACGAGAGTTTTCATACCATGCAGGAAAATTGGCGGCAAGAAATAGAAGAAGTCCTCTTAGAATTGCGCAGGAAAGAGAAGGTAATTTAGAGAGGTTTACTCATAATTTCTGTTACTTGATTTTCTATCTCATTTATGCTGCGTTATGTAGGCTTGTAAATCGTACGAGGAGGTAATTTACTGACGGTTACGGACTTGCTTGTCATTGTAAATAAAAAAATTGCTTTTTTAGGAGCTGCGATGTAGAGAAGAGGATTTAAATAGAGCTCAGTTGCAGCAGCGGTTGCACGAGGAGCAACTGAGACAGAAAGAGCAAGAACTGCAAGCTCGAGAAATAGATTTGTTAGAGAGAGAGCTGCATTTTATGATTAAGCAACAGACGCCCACACCTAACAAAAGGAAAGGTAGTGTTCTCTTACCTATCGATTTCGCAGATAACGTGTTTATTTAGGGAAGTTCAAGAGGTCAAGACTGAAATTGTTAAAGAAAGAACCCGGAACGAATATTAGTTTTCCATCCGATTTTAGGCATACAATTACGGTGCAGCACACGATAGATAACAAAGCGATTACTGGCGTAATTTCACCTCACAGTCCACCCGGTTCTCCTGCAATACCACGGTTACGTGCTATCGCCCGTAAGTTTTCTACTGTCGACTAATACGAAACGTTAGCATTTGCATGGTATATGAAATTTTTATTGCATGCATAATTTTGTGTTGTATTACAATTCGGTAAATTCTTGAATGAATTTAGTTTTTCACAGTTTTTGGCTTTATCATATCGTGCTGATTTAAAAATACGCATTAGTGTTCGTTCTAAATTGTTACTAAAAAATTGCGTCCTATTTTATTGCAAAATATTTCGTTACGTTATTCTATATGAAATGTTTGTTAATCTAGCATTGCATCTGTGTGGAAAATATTTATGCGTGTAACAAATAGCCCAGTATCATTATTTGCATCAGGTGGGGGTAGTAGGTTTCGTCTTTTTTTCTTGTATGGAACGTGACTGAAATGCAAAATTCAAGTTTTCGTCCCCAGCAGACCCAAGGTCACTGTAAATATTCCAAAAACTGTAATGTCACTTCTTTTGTTTTTTTCCCATTTTGACAATGAAGGAACATGTATCCACCATTTTTGACCTAGAGATACAACTTGGGTGGGTAGAAGGTTTGGTGGTATGGGGAGGGGCACAAACAGGCGACTGAACCTTGTCAAGAAGGTTTAATATAAAATCAACACATATGTTGGTAAGTATTGATACCTATACAGGGTGACACTTTTAAAACTTTCAATGGGCGATATCGTTTTTTATATTAGAGGTATCACAAAATGGCCAAAACCGTTTCGGTAGAATCGAGGGGGAAGCAAAATGGTCGTATAAAGAAGGAACCAACTTCAACCTCGTACCCCCCGCCACCCCCATGCCTAAATTTTGAATTGTGACGTATCACTTGTGATACATCATTGGAAAGCTCTTAAAAACCATACACTGGTACATTTAAACTGCCCATTCACAATTTATTACACTAAAATTTGAACTCCGCAAATAAACAACTTTTATTTAATAAAATGTTCAAAATTTCACTGTTTTGTTCTAAACAATACCACAAACGGTTTTCAAATTCATTTCTAACATTTTTAAACACTTCCCTGGAAAGTGAACGGCACTCCCTGACTATCCGGTAGCGAAGATCATTTATGGAAGCTGGTTCAGTTTTGTACACAACCGATTTTAAATGACCCAAAGAAAGAAATCCAATGGTGTCAGATCTGGAGATCGTGCTGGCCAATCTATAGGACCTCTTCGTCCTATCCACTGTCCCGGAAATTTCTCATCTAAAAATTCACAAACAGCCATAGAGTAATGAGGAGGAGCCCCATCTTGTTGAAAATGTATGAAATCTTCAATCAAATTCATGTTTCCGTCAATTGGATTTATTTGATTCTCTATTTCATGAGTGATCAGAGGCTCGACGGTATTTTGTAGCATGTTTAGGTAAGTATCTCCAGTTAAATTTCCTTCCATAAACAGAGGACCAATAATGCTATCACCTAAGATACCCATACCTGCCCAGACGTTAATTTTTTGGGGCCGTTAAGTATGCCCCTCGCGAAAAAGATGAGGATTTTTATCGTCCCAATACCGGCAGTTATGTTTGTTCACATTTCCATTTACAAAGAATGTACATTCATCACTAAAACAAATGTTTTTCACCAGTTCCGGATTATTTTGAATATTCTCGGTCATTATTTCACAAAATTGGATTCTTCGATCGGAGTCGTCTTCGGTTAGTTCCTGTACAATCTGCATCTTATAAGGGTAGAATTTGTGCACCTTAAGAGTTCGTCGTACAGTTTCTCGCGAAAGTCCGGTCATAGTCGCTGCTTTTCGAATAGATGATGTTGGGTTTGCACCAAAATGACCTAAAACTTCAATCTGAGTAGCTTCATCCATTATTCTTGGTCCGTCTCTTTTCTTATTTTCCACTGACCCAGTTTCTTCAAATTTAGTCACTAACATTGCAACATAAGTGTGACTGACACGTCGTTCTGGGTGTCGGGCATTAAAAACAGCTGCTGTTCTAAATGCAGATCGCGCTTCAGAACCATAGATGAAATGAAAATAATTTCAACTCTTTCGGCTAACGTGTACACCATTATGAAATCTTTAGTTAAATTCAAAATTTGTAATTTTCTTGCCAAGAAATACTAAAAACGAGACTAAAATAATAATAACCGATCAACAAATAAAGCAATAGAAAATTATTATTTACTAAAAATTGCTGTCATTGTTTTTCCAAAGCATCACTAGAGCTAAGAAATTTTTTTTTTATTTCAAACACTGACAAATTCATCAAATACTCAAATTACTCATTTTTATTACATAAATTGTGAATGGGCAGTTTAAATGCACCAGTGTATGGTATTTCTGAAAAGCATTTTTTAAGAGCTTTCCAATGATGTATCACAAGTGATACGTCACAATTCAAAATTTAGGCATGGGGGTGGCGGGGGGTACGAGGTTGAAGTTGGTTCCTTCTTTATACGACCATTTTGCTTCCCCCTCGATTCTACCGAAACGGTTTTGGCCATTTTGTGATACCTCTAATATAAAAAACGATATCGCCCATTGAAAGTTTTAAAAGTGTCACCCTGTATAATGGGTACCCTGGTATCCGTAACGCGTTGGTGACTTTTACTACTAAATGGTTACTAAATACGAGTGTAAGTGTACCCGATATTGATCCTCAACTTGATCAATAGCATTGCTGGGAAATTGGTTTACGTGACATACAAATGAACTTTGGAATCGGCAAATCTAAAACACTTCACAGTTAAAATCATAGATCAAAAACTAGCTCTTAAACATAATCTCATAACAGATAACACATTTTACATACTACAAATACACTCCACAGATAATACACATAAATTATATTGGGATAGGACACTACTCACAGACAAAACTATTGACATTCGTAGACCGTATCTTGTTTGAGACCCCCAAGGGCGGTGAGGATGACCAATAAATCTAGATCTAGAGTGATTGGGCCACTCCACTTTGTGAAGAAGGTGACCACCATCTACAACCACAAATTTAGTTTTTCCTCGCGACTTTTCAATATTAACAGGTTGGAATGCGGCATAAAAAGGGGACTTATTGCCCATCCTCATTTCCTCCTGAGTGAATAGAGACATCGGGAATGGTGAAAGCTTGTACATGAAGAAGTTGTTCAATTGTTTATCCGACTGTTTTAAAACGCACACGTGTGATAGGCTCAATACTCACTTACCTGTTATCAACAGTAACAGTACGAACAGTAGAGGAGGGACACTGCTCTGTTTTTTCGCTTTAATTTAACGTTTTGGAAGTTTTTCCCTACAACCTTCAACATTGCTCCAGTAGTGGGACAAAGCTCCCCTGCTGAAACGGTTCGAGATATTGATTTCAAGTTTAGAGGACTTTAATAAGACATTGTTATACATGTTTCGGAATAAAAAAGAAATTTCTTCATTACCTAATTTTGAGGGCGGCCGCCATCTTGAATTTTTTTTATTGACGACATAGGTCATGCGAAACATCACTCGAAAGCATTTATCCCTTTTTTTTGGAAAATGAAAATATCACGCCTACTGAAATGGTTTGATATACAGTAATCCGGAGCTCGACAGTCCAGCACATCCAGTAGTCTGGCATTTAGCGACACAGCTGATTCACTGTGTAATCCTGTACTCCCACTCTATAATCCAGCACATTATAGAGCTAATTTCAATTAAATTTATTTGTTGCTCATGGTTTAAAAACTTATATTGAGTGTTAATTTTGAACTGCGATCACTTTGACATAATTATTGCTTGTTAGGTGTTCTTTTGTTTCAATGGTAACTTGGATGAATACAAATATTGCAAAAATTTGTGAATGTTCTTATTTTCGCCATATCTCTGCTTAGAAAACGGATATCAAAATGATGCTTTCACTGCTTTTTTCACGTTTTCATCTTAGTTGATAATATCATATAATAATTATAACATTCCATTTGAAATTTTCAAGAAAACTTGCAAAGTTTATGTTAATGTCAAACCGCGCCACTCATCACATTTACTAAAAAGACTATTCGTGTAAAATCTGATTACAAGAAGAGAGCTCTTTCCAATAAGCCCAAAAGTTACATTCAACTCCTTAAAAAAATGCCCCCCTTCCCCCCACCCCTCATTTTATGAGCTAGAGCAATATTTGATGCAAAATTCATACAAGATTGTTGAGGGCCCAAAACAAGAGAGGGATAATAAAATAAAAATAAAATAAATAAAAAAATAAAATAAATAAAATAAATAAAATAAAATGTATGTATTTTTTTATGCATGTTCGTTGGGTATATTTTAGGGAAAAAAATCATTTTCCTGCTTATTACGCCCTCTAGAAACTTAAAAATAATTTCCAGCGATTTCTTTTGGACGCTTTTGTTACCAAAATCTTTTTCCCCAAGCTGTGCATATTAACGGTTGCATAGATATGGCCTATGATCTTTATTAATAGGACATCCTGTACATAAATTTCAGTCAAAGACTTATTCGAACCACTTAAAATTTTGCACACTTATACAGGGTGCTGCAGCATCAAAGACTCCTAGGATCATAAAAAATTTCTCTTCCTAACCCTAGTCTGCTGTGACGAAACAAAACATTACAGCCGTACCGTTCTAGAATATTTTTAAGAAAGATTTCCGGACCCACGGATTAGCTGTGAGGGCCCAGTGAGGTGGCCACCAAGATCGCCAGACCACACTTCCCTTGATTTCTTCCTACATCAAGAATAAGGTATACAGGACGGTATCAATTACTGCCGAGGACATGCGGGAGATACTTTTATTTTGAGTAAACAACATGGTAACCATGTTTTATATAATTTGTTAAACAGATGGCAAACTTGGGTTAAAAAAAACACTTCTACAAATCTTTTTTTCTCTGAAATTTTCTTACGGAATGTGTGGTTTTGTTTGTATCAGTGGGAACTTGTGACAGTGGAAGAGATCTTGGCCTGTGTCTTAATTCAAAACTTAACCCCTGGCGCGATTAAATTTCTCTCTAAAAAAAAATTTGAAAAACTGTCAGAAAAGGAACAAAGGTTATAACAGCGAAATCGTTAAGACTTATAACACTACATAAAAAAATAAGTACTTTGGAAGTACTTTCCAAATCTGCAATAAAATATGGGTAGTCCATTAAATAAAACGCAAGTTTGATACACCACTGGAATACAGCACGCTCCTGGTGATTAAAAATATTTTAGAAATATGGCGACGGTAATTGTACAATGTATGTATGGCTGTAACTTTTGAACTAGTAGTCCAATCGTGGAACTGTTTGAAATTGTCGATTCTACAGGTCACATTATATAAGAAAATTTTTTCCCGGGTCGATCTGAGACAATTTTTTTTTCGTGCCTGAAAAAAAGGCAATGTATAACCTTCCTTTTTTACCAAAAATCGACTACACCAAAATTTCTCGGGAAAACACTTTTTCTTATTAATTTTGGGGCGTAGAATCCAAAACATTTCGTACTTTTTCGATTAGACTTCTCAATCAAAAGTTATAGACTAGAAACCAATTTCGAAAAAAAATTCAAAGGGCTGTAACTTTTGAACTAGTAGCCCAATCTTGGAACTGTTTGAAATTATGGATTCTACAGGCCACATTCTATAAGAAAATTTTTTTCCGGGTCGATCTGAGATAATTTTTTTTTCGGGGCTCAAAAAAAGGCAGTGTATAACCTTCCTTTTTTACCAAAAATCGACTACACCAAAATTTCTCGGGAAAACACTTTTTCTTATTAATTTTGGTGCGTAGAATCCAAAACAATTCGTACTTTTTCGATCAGACTTCTCAATCAAAAGTTATAGACTAGAAACCAATTTCGAAAGAAAATTCAAAAACTTCTCAATCAAAAGTTATAGACTAGAAACAAATTCGAAAGAAAATTCAAAGGGCTGTAACTTTTGAACTCGTAGCCCAATCTTGGAACTGTTTGAAATTATGAATTCTACAGACCAGGTTCTATAAGAAAAAATTTTTTCCGGGTCGATCTGAGACAATTTTTTTTCGGGGCAAAAAAAAGGGCAGTTCCTTCCTTTTTTCCAAAAATCGACTACACCAAAATTTCTCGGGAAAACACTTTTTCTTATTAATTTTGGGGCGTAGAATCCAAAACAATTCGTACTTTTTCGATTAGACTTCTCAATGCTCTTTTTTCAGTATCTTTTATGGTAAGGAATTATGATCCGAGGGGTCTTAGATGCTACACCCTGTGTATTGTCAGTGACTGAGTTTTGGAACTATTAAAAAATGATTTGATGGTTTTTTGGGGTTTTCACAGAAAAAATACCCAGCCAAGTTTAATTTACAAAATATTTTTTTCAATTCGAGGGGTGTAGGGGGAGGGCTCTCATTTACACTGTTTGTATATCATCGATGTAAATGTTTGCTAAATACAGTGGCTAAATAAATTATGTACCTATTTCAATTTCAATCGACTGGTTGAGAACATTGACTTTCTCCATACCACTAAACCCTCCCCGTACTCGGTTTAAAATGTTCTCTTCATGGACCCATATCAGACAAGTTATGAAAGAACCAATCAGATGTGTAACCGTAAGAGACAGCTTGCCCTCTTAGTCAAATACTACCCCCACTTGATGCAACTTGGACTCTCATTTTCATGACCAGGTTACTGGGGTAAAAATACTTACTTTTTGGGATTTGCGGCTCACTTTTCTATACTTCAAAAGATTAACAAGCATCACATCGAACACTACTACGTATGTAGTTAAATATTTGCAAAATTTTTATTTCATTATTGCATGTTTTAAAAAACGTCGGATAATCGAAATAATGGCAAAAGAAGAGAGGTATGAAAGAGGTATAAATGCTGAAAAACTTTATGGAAAATAATTGTAGGGCACAGATGGGTGTATTATTCTCTTACAGTGCCTGCGGACGGAGTAAAAGGGAAGACTTGGGGTCCTAGTACCTGTCATCAACGTGAAAGAGGTCAAATTCCTTTATTGCGCCCCACTCAAAGACCGGGCGGTATTTGGTCAAAAAGTGCTCCAAACTTGGATAAACCAAGGACTCTACTGAGCAGGCCTACACATGATATAGGTAACACAACACCTACAACTCCTGATAATAAAATTATTGGTGATAAAGGTGATAACAATTATACTTCCACTCTCCAGTTTGTTAAAAGTAAAGTAACCGCTTTTGCATTGTCAGAGTTTAAGCCATTTCGAAGTTCTTCGCGTAATAATAGTTATCCCGCAAATAATGCTTCTTTAACGCCAAGTTCTCTGTTGATGGGGCAAAATCGGCTCAGTCGGTCTATTGGGAATATAAGTGAATCACATTACGATACTGTGTTTAGCACTAGAGCTTTTGTAATTGCTAAAGGGGTTAACAATAATAACTCTGTCAGTTTTGCGAAAAATTATGCTAGCTTAAGTGATGTTCATGACGATACCGAAAATTTGCTTAAAGATTAAACTGATTTATGGGAAAAATAGTATTTTATTTTTATACAAAATTTTTTATCAAGGTATATCTGAGGACAATCTCCACAACATTGTCTGTAAGTTAACTAAAAGCAATAAAACATAAATTTTTATGTTAAGTTTTAAGCACAGTAGCTTGTATTTTTTTTCTTAGTTTCACGTACTTTATTTCAGCTTCTGCAAGTTTTTATTTCTTTATGTAGATTGATTTTATTATATTAATTGTAGTTATATTAGGTTTTAATGCTATGAATGTTAATTTTTAATTACGAACTTATAAGGAAGAGTGATCAATGTCATTTGTCTCTGCTGCAATGTTGGAGTGATTTGAAATTTATGCTTACGTACACTTAAATTTCAACTTGCACTCCTCCTGTCAAAAACATTGAACACTCTGATGTTATGCTGCTTGAACACATTCGTTTTTAATTTGTGTAGATGAATATTTCTGTGTTTAAAAAGTAGTTCACATATTTTTTTAAATACAGAGTTCAAGTTGTTTAATTTGTGGTGATGGTGTTACTACATGTATGAATTTTTAAAATAAACAGACTCCTAGCATTTTTTAACTACGTATTTTATTTTTTGAATATAAGCATGACCTAAGGATTTGCATTCCATTATTTTTTATGTATAATTAATGAAGGTGAAGTTTCTTATTTTTAACGTCTATATTTTCAAGATTTTAATTCAATTTGTACTAATGGGGTTGTTGTGTTAACTTATATACTTCATAACAAGGTTACCCTATACTTTAATTACAGCGTAAGTCGCCTTAATTTGTGTTCTCAATTTTATTTAATTATTTTAAGAAACTCGGCGACTTTCGCTGTGCATTAAAGGATTTCTTCTTTCCTCCTAATGTAGCTTGTATTTTATTTTACACCAAAAATAAGAGAGAGCTAGAGTGTTGTATGTTTGGGTTAACAGATTTCGTACCCCCTGAGGATTGGGGTCCCGAATATCCAATACCTGGCACCGTCAGAAACAATGTGCCAATGCCGACGTTATATAGTGCCGATGGTGAGTATCAATCTTAGATTATAGTCGATATCTAAGTGGAATTATATGACAGGTTTAAAATCGAGGCATAAACTGAGTGTAATCGAGTTGGTTTTGTACAACATGGCTGCCTTATTAGCGGGAGTTGCGACTGGATATGACGTGCGGTTGTCAAATGTATCGCCGGTACATCCAAGATTACAACCAAATAGGTAATGTAACTGGTATTATGTGACAGTGTTCAATTGTTGTGTGAAATGTAATTTTTTGTTAATGTCAACATGCATGTAAAGATGGATTCAGAAAATTGTGGCACATTCTATGCGCTTTGCTAATGTTTTATATGTGCGTGCAATAGTCAGTAAACGATAGCCAGGACATTAGTACTCTGTAGCATCGTTTGAGTACTATTCTAAAATGACAAAACAAAATTGCCACCTATTAGAATGCTGATATTTTGATGTGCTGTCTGGCGGTTTTTTTTAAGGTAGCCAGTACACTGGATATTGATAACCAACACATTAATATGCATGAAAAATTGGCTGTCAACTCTCCTTTGGAAGTTGAAGTACGATTTCCGATGTAAACAAAAATTTCAAAGGGGACTTGACAGGAACTCATTTTTGATTGCATAGCACTTCTTAGGTGCTGAATATGTACCGGGTGACCCAATAAGACTGTTCCTCGGCCATATCTCGAGAACCGTTCGTCATATGACTTAGGGGTAAAAAAATTATTGGGTAAATCGGTGATGAAGAATCGCTGGAAAATATTTTCAAGTTCTAAAAAGGACCAACAGAGGGCGTAACTGCCATCTTAAATTTCGCACAATAAACTAAAAAAAAATTTTTCACATTTTTAAAGAGAACCAGTTTATCATTTTCGTAAAACAAAAACTCAGTTATTTCAAAAACAAAGATGGCGTGGGGCGTTCATTTGTTTTTGCAATAACCTTTTTTAACTTCTTAACGGCCCCAGAGAGTTTTTTAGGTTCTCCAGTATCAGGTGATCGGGAGTAGTTTGTAATGTTTCTTTTTCCTGGTCTAGTGTGAGTCCCACGCCCCTGCCTAACTCCTCTGCCAATAGCAATCCTCATTGCGACTTTCTGTCCCACATAGAGACCATTTGATAAGCTTTCCTTTTGTCCAATCTACCCCGTTTTTTAAATACAGTAATCTGGCAGATATGGGACCGGGGTATTGCCGGATTATTGGAAGTCCATAAATAAAAACACTTAAAATACACAAAACAAGTGTTTTATTGTGCCAAAGCAACTAATAAAAAAGTATTTTAGAATCACAAATGTCATACTCAACAATTATCTCTAAGAAATAATATTTTTACAGTGCAGTACCAAACTAAACAATGAAAAATAAGTTTCAGTAATATATCTCAACTTAAATCCCCCGCCACGCCGGGTAAATGGAGTGTCGTATTGGCGTAGTGCCGGTTTATAAAGAGTCCACTGTATTGTTTTTAATCTTTTCCATTTTACACAATAAAATGCCTCCCATAAACTCCTTTCAGCCATCCTCTGCGATATACAGAGCGGACATTTTGCCTGGAACACTGTATATATCTTCAAAACAAAATTTTTTTAAAAGACCATGGTATCCCAAATTATTAAAAAAATGCTACAATTATAGAAGATCTTAAATTTTCATACAAATCAGCCTACTTTGATTTTTTCAACAGCATCCAATACTTTTGAAATCATTTGTAACAAAAATCAAAGCAGGCTGATTTGCATAGGAATTGAAAGTCTACCATGTAATAATAATAATGACGTTTATTTCCACATAATAGCAAAACCAAATAAATTTAAAAATGGAAATAAAGTTGAAATATAATTATACGGGAAACGGGACTACATTCAGTGTTATTTACAAGCCTGTTCTTCTATGTAACCCGAATTCGTTACAAGCAAAATTAAATATAAGTTCTCAGGAATATATTACTAGTAAATAAAAAAGAATATCTGTCAAGCGGATATGTCTAATATGTGATTGTTTTTTACACCATTTACTGATTTTTAAATTGTTCTCAAGTTAATGAAAAAATCAAAGTAGGCTGTATGAAAATAACTTTTAGTTCTAAACAATTTTTTTTAATACAATTTGACTATATTTGCTAAAATAAAGACAGTTTACTCTTGACTAATTTTTAGATTCGACAAAAAAACACCCTGTAAATTAATTGATTTGATCAAGTAGGTGCGATCCTCAGAACATGAAGATACAGCTCTAAAAAAATTGTCCTATACACCTTATGTGCACTCAATCTGTGGACGGACTATATACAGGCTGTTTCACGCAACCTGTTACCTAAAATTATTAATTACAGCTATTAATGATTTAAATCAGCAAATTTGTATACCAACATGCTCTATCAAAAGAAATTACCTGTCATGATCGTTTCACTTCCGGTTGTACTTTCTTGTTTTAAATGGAACACCCCATATCTTATTGAATTTTGGAAATCTACATGAAAATCTACGTCGTTTGATACCACATTTCCCTATACCTAGCATCAACGGTTTTCAAGTAATTCAAAATTTTTGACGTTTGCGTTTTTTAGCGCTGACTTGTCCACTGACTTGATGCTACATGAAAATGATTTAAATTTTTATCGCCCTTCTACAGAGTGTTTTAAAATTAATGGTCAATTATTATATTCCCATACCTATCTGTGATGGTTTCCATTTTATTTAAGATTTTCTAAAATTGTGACCATTATATTATATGCATAAGGTTCTTAGTAGGTCTTGAAATAAACGCGTTAGCAGATCTGACAGATAACTCTTTTTCGGTTATAATTGTTCGTTATTCATGGTAGTTAATATCACTAAGTTCCTATATACTTTAATGAATACAAATTTAAATAAAGATGGAATCAAAAACAGAAGCAAGCCATGATAACAAATAACAAAATAAAAAACAAACATCAAATTGAGGTTTTTTTCAATGCATAATGGCATCCTCTGATTAACTCCGTTGATAGTCTCATCTCGAATTCCTAGTCCATTTCATCAAAAGCTCTTCTCACCCTAATTTGCAGTTCTTCACGAGAATGAACTGATGTAACTTTGTTTTTTATAAGACCCCGGCATTATATCTGGAGATCTAGAAAACCAATAGCGCGCCCTACCTGATGCACTTGTCTTCAAAAATGTTCAAATACATTAAGCATCACGGGTAGAATGACTTGGCGCTCCGTCAAGTTGAAACCAGTAGCTTTTCCCGGGTAATGTTTTCAAGGATGGTACAATGACATCTACTAACGCGTTTATTTCAAGGCCTCCTGAGTAGATTATGCATATAAGGTTCACCATTTTAGAAAATCTTAAAACGAAAACCATAACAGATAGGTATAGGACATGTAATAATTAATCAATGCAGAATTTTCTTTCCACATTTCAAATGCAAAACAATAAAGCAGGTTTCATTAGAAAAAATCAATTTTAGAGTATTTAGACCATTAATTTTAGAACACCCTGTAGAAGAAGGGCGATCAAAATTTAAATCATGCGGATGTAGTACCACGTCAGTATTGTTGTTTTGGCAGACTTTTTGAAATTCTAGTCAACGGAGCCATAGGTACAGGGCGCTAAAAAAAAGCAGTCAAACGTCAAAAATTTTGAAAAATCTTCAATAACTTTAAAACCGTTGATGCTAGGTATAGGGAAATGTGGTATCAAACGATGTAGATTTTCATGTAGAATTCGAAAATGCAATAAAATATAGGGTGTTCTATTTAAAATAAGAAAGTTGCTATTCACTTCCGGTAATGATAATATTTTCCTTCGATAGAGCATAAAAAACTATGCTGGTATGCAAATTTTAAGATTTAAATTATTAATGGAAGTCTAAATACTGCTAGGTTTGTATGAAACAGCCTGTATATGTTCGTTATAATTCCTTGGGTGATTAATTGGTTGAAATGTATCTTTTTAGGTCAGAAGTTAATTACGAATATCAACAGTGGAGACCTGCTGCAGAAAACCTCGAATATGAATACTCCTCGTCTAGTGGATACAATCACAACACTTACCACGGCCCTACAAAGCACTACAGACCGATGTTGACCACCTCCCAATTAATGAATTTGCAGTACGAAGATCAGAAACCGTTACGATTCACAGATTCCCCTCAGCACCATTCCACTCACATTACGCCCAATCCATCGCCCAGAAGAAAGTCCAGTTCTACCAGCAACGACGGCTCCGAGCAATTGTATACTCCATATGATCGCGGTGCTACTATATACATACCGGGAGATTACCATGGCTGTCGTAATGACAGTATACGTTGCTTAGGATGTGTTGGCATAGACAAACCATTTTTAAGTGTTTATGGGCATAATGACCATAATTATGGTGGATATGGTTCTGACTATAGTGGTTCAACCACTATGTACGGTTACGGTACCGATTACGCTTATGATAATCCTAGTAGTTTAAGTAGTCATAGTAGCACAAGAACACCTCAAAGAGTCGCTTTGCTTGTGCATAAGCGTACACCATCTAACGTTTCGAATGCTAGTTCTACAACTACAAGTGGTTCAAATGTAAACCCTAGTTTTCGTTTAGAAGACGAATGCAATTATACACCCACACATTACCTTAGGACACAACCAATAGACTACGAGTACACTTTGTCCTTTTCAAGACAAAGTTCTTACGATTCCACAAATGTAGAGAGACCAACTACTTTAGAGACTGGCAGCGTTACAAAATTACGTTCTAGCTTGAAGAGAAACAATTATCAAGGGGGTCAAGGACAATCGGGCGGTAACACACCCACAAATCCAACCCCACCTGATAGTTTAACAAGTGACGACAGTTCATACGTGTCTGCAAAAGATAGTAATAGTTCTGTAAGTCGCGTTCGATTCTCGCCGACAACTCTGATCGATCTACCCGTCCAGGGGCAGATCCAAGATACAACTGTACCTCTTCAAGCTCGTAGAACCAGACAGAGGCCGTCGATAGCAGATTTGGAACGAGACTTTACGACATAAGTTAGTGAATGTTTATTTCTAAGTCATTTTAGTAGATTGCCTTCAAATGCTACGTCGTCAATATTTGATTTAATACTTAATGTCGGTTTCGTGTATTGCGGACAGTATTTCTTCACTTACAGTGAAGGGTGGTAGGAATTAAAGAAGTCAAATCTCTATACGTATGCTTGTTCAATTTCGATGACATCACAGGACTTTAGGCTAAAGTTTTTCTTTTGAAGAGTATTAGATTGTATTATAAATGAAGCCAAATGCTCAACCCAGTCTGCAAATTAAATGTGATAGAAATCACAATCCATAGTGCCTAGTTTTAGATGTGCAAATAAAATTTGAAACTGATAAGTTTATAGTCATTCTTGTGCAATTTTATTTTCAATTTTTTATGTAAAAATTCTATATTTTATCACAATTTCTAAGCCTTAATTCGTTAAACCAATGTACAAAAAATAAAATTATAATAAATGTAAAAGCACAACTTATAATAATATTTTTGCCATATTTTTTACAAATTAGTTTATAATTTACTAGCTTTAACTAAAATGTAGTTTAAAACTGAACTCTATCCGGTGTTATGTAATAAACTGAGGTTTTTTATCGGAACAGAAAGACTGGTAGACATTCCATTTGGTGTGCTTTGATACTTGCACAAGTTGATTAAGGTAAATCGGTTGATAATAGCACCGGTTCAAGTCAAAAAGTACTCAATTTAAATAATGATTGCGGCCATCATTAAAATTATATACATACAACTACAGTCAGTATTGATTTTGTACTAGTAGCTGTACTACTGTAAATATATTATAAATAATGTAGGTAATTAAACATGTGGCTTCCATTTGGCGAAGTATAATGTTTAAATATTTATTGAAAATGTATAATACATTCCAGATATCTTTATCACGAGAAAGATTAATACTCAAAATGTGTGAATACTGTAACAATTGATTCAAAATATAATTTTTCAAAAGATTTTACATTTTCTATTTATTCCGGGCCTTTTGTAACAGTGCTCAGGAGCATTATTGTTTTTTAGAATTCGCCTGTAACTTTTAATGTAGTCCTTGTATCTACTAAACCAGTTGTTTCCAGCATGCGGAAGACCGTGGATCACTTGGTTGGAAGTATAATGGGTAGGTACCTCCTTAGAATTTTGTTCAGGAGGATACAATACAAGTTTATGACATCCAAATAATGTTTCTAAAGTGATTGTTCAGATTTTTAACAATTTTCTTGGCCGACCGCCATTTTAAGTGTGTTGCTGTGTGCAGTGGTGTACACTCCACTAAACTACACTACCCCCAGAATACCTGTTCAGCTAGCCCAAACAAATTGAAATTGGAATATAATTTTTCTCGTACACTTTCGCCATCAGTCACAAAAAAGTCTAAATATAATAATAGCCATTTATTGAGGAAAACAGAAAACATAATAATCATCAATCTAACAAAAACATGTACTTAATCCTAAAAAGGCCGAAGTTCAGATTGGTATAACTAACGTAGTACCATCTGTTCTATTACTTAACGCTATTTGGTACACTTGGTTTCGAAAATTCCAAAGAATTTATTACACAAATTTTGATCACCACCTGAAATATGGATATGAAAAGAAAAATCTATGCGCATCTCACAATGGGTTCGAATAAACACGATTAATTGATTGCCAATAACAACAATTTATACCGAAACGCATCAAACAATTCAAAAAAATGTACAAATTACGCCTCATACGCAGTCGTTCGATAATTAAAAAGTCTTAAAATTACTAGTTTTTTCTTTTTTAATTAATCTGGTCGTTTATTTATTTATTTATTATCCCTCTCTTGTTTTTGGGCCCTCAACAGGCATGCGCCCAATTACAGAGTGACCCGCATAATGCTATTTAGAGGTGCCTATGCAGAAGGTCTTAAGATGGTCTATACTACTCCGGTATTTACCTTACGACTTAGGAAAACCTAATTCGGAGTAGCCGGTAGAATGCTCGGAACTGGTCTAAGGTAATTTCCATCTCCGCCACAGATGAAAAATTCACCTCAACCCAGGTTCGAACACCCGACCTCCGGATTTATAACCCAATGCTCTTACCACTGAGCCATAAATCCGATTAGTCGTGAAATGGTGATTTTATCAAAAACACTTGCTGACAGTTTTCATTAGTTTAGACCACAATGTTTCATCCCCAAGAGAGGAAACGCCCATTCTGACCTTCGTATGTTTCTTAAGAAAGATTTTTGACCTATGTAGTCAGTTGCATACTTATCCACAGCACGTTAAAGCTGTACCTTTGTGCTGTACAAATCAAAAGTTATAGACTAGAAACAAATTTCGAAAGAAAATTCAAAGGGCTGTAACTTTTGAACTAGTAGCCCAATCTTGGAACTGTTTGAAATTATGGATTCTACAGGCCACATTTTATAAGAAAATTTTTTCCGGGTCGATCTGAGACAATTTTTTTTTCGGGACTCAAAAAAAGGCAGTGTATAACCTTCCTTTTTTACCAAAAATCGACTGCACCAAAATTTCTCGAGAAAACACTTTTTCTTATTAATTTTGGTGCGTAGAATCCAAAACAATTCGTACTTTTTCGATCAGACTTCTCAATGAAAAGTTATAGACTAGAAACCAATTTCGAAAAAAAATTCAAAGGGCTGTAACTTTTGAACTAGTAGCCCAATCTTGAAACTGTTTGAAATTATGGATTCTACAGGCCACATTCTATAAGAAAATTTTTTTCCGGGTCGATCTGAGACAATTTTTTTTTCGAGCCTCAAAAAAAGGCAGTGTACAACCTTCCTTTTTTACCAAAAATCGACTACAGCAAAATTTCTCGGGAAAACACTTTTTCTTATTAATTTTGGTGAGTAGAATCCAAAACAATTCGTACTTTTTCGATTAGACTTCTCAATAAAAAGTTATAGACTAGAAACAAATTTTTTCGAAACGAGTAACGTTAACTGATTTAACATACAAGTAATGTAAAACATTTTATTTCATACTGCTCGTTTTTTTATTAAAATGCCATACAATTTTTGAATAGAATGTGTACGCATTCAAATGAAAGCAAAAGTCGATCACTTTTTCAACAAGGAGACTGAACACACTATCAAAATGAATAGTCCACTTACGACAGTCTCATACATAAGGTTGGGTCTGAAACTTATGAGTCTTGTGCTAAATCTATTCCTGTAGGTCTACAGGTATGAAATATGGGATTCCCTACTTCCCAGCATATTGATCGGAAATTTTGTTCAAGAGTACCTACCACTGAATTTATAATTTCCAGTATCAATTATATTTATACAAAACTACCAATGTGCTTAAAAGGCCATATTACAAACATAGCTCTACTACAAATTAATCCTAAAGGAACTGGTCCGTAAGCTCTAGAATCGGACGAATTTTCTCTATTATCCCCTTCTAACCATACGTGAGCCGGTGGGACCGTTTGTGACGTCGTGAAACCCGTTTTTATCTTATCCCCCGGTAACCCGACGACCCGTTTACAAATGTATTGCTTGGGATTCGTCGGACACTTGGCAATAATGACATCGCCTCTACTTATATACCTAAAGCGGGGTGATAAGTGTTCGATAAAGACAATATCATCCGAGTATACAGTAGGTTCCATTGATCTTCCCGAGCACTGAAATATTTCATACACAAAAAGAATGAGGTTATGCAGGTTTAGTACCATAACAATATCTCCCAAATATTTAGACACGCAGTGTACAACACAGCCGTATTGAATTATGTATCCGACAGTTTTAATTAATTTGCTGGTCAATGATTTCATATTTTTTGAGAATTATTTAATTCCCCACACGAACGGTTGGCGACCCTGAAGTGTGCGACAAAGAGGGAAGAGCCCAACTTGATTTTTCTTTTAGTCATTCGCATGGTCATTCGTGAATCGGGATCGTAAGTGATGCGATGTTGTACGTCAAAAAATAGTAAACGTTTTTGCAAGTGCATTTAAATGACAGCTCTTTATGTGCCAGATAATGTTTTCCGAGAAACTGTATTTAGTGAAGGTGCGTGCGAGGATTGCGACGTCCGTTCAATAATAATTATTGGTTGAAGATTAGTAAATACATATACAAATATGTCAAGTATCTCCTTTATGTGAAGTAGATAAATCGCAAGGATTTTGTTTAATATCCACGGTATGTATTAGTCTTATTATACTTGTCGATAGTTGAACAATTGCGCGGACAGTCATTTTTATCACGTTGTGCACTTATTCAAGTGCTTTTAGTATCGATTATACACACGTGTAACAATAACCCGTTAATTACCTACGTCAAATAATGACTCAATAAATTCTTGGACATGCTTTGTAAACCGAGGTCACTTACCTAATTGCTATTTTGAGCAGATTTTGGTATGCTGCCGCTTTGGTATGAGAGTGGGGTTTTTTGGAATTTGTAGGAAGTCTGAAAGCCTTTGTATCCATTTTGCGTGGCCTCCTTTAACCATTATTTTTCGTAATTATAGATAAAGGCGATGATAAAGGTTTTGTGGGTTGTTTGTAGTAGGTAATCTCAACCATAGTTTAACAATTATATTGTTTTGTTAATTTTAAAGAATTCCAGTTATTATGAATGGTAACATCCTAGTTTGTATTACTCATCATCCCAAGTATGGAAAAACCCAGGGGATGTCCACTTCCCACATTACTTTAAATGTACTGTTGATGTCAAAAGTAGGTATATAGTCCTCTGCATACTTGAACTGTATGGCTGAGTGAATTACGATCTTGTCCTTTTTCAGAATTTGTCTGAAAGGACCCAAATCGTTATGGAAGAGTTTCCATAAAAAGCTAAAGGTCCCTGGAAGAGAGCACTAGACAGTTTTTTCCAGGCCACAGAACTTTGAACGACCCAGTGAAATATTTCTACTTCTTAAAATGTCGTTAGATTCTGGTCTTTTCTAAACTCCTTTATGTTTACAAAAGATTCAGATCTAGAAAGTCACGGAAAAGATCTAGAAGACTTCCGAAATCTCTAGAAATGATTTTCTTTGTTTCGCATATAAAATGTCGTTCTCGGGGGTCATTCTCTTGGCAACAATTTTGATGCTAGAATGAGAACGAATTATTGTACTATTATTGGTGAATTGATGATTTTTGGGGAATTTTTAGTCATTGATTGGTATACCTACCTGATTTTAGTTTAATGCCTAAACTGCCTAAAGCTAAACTATTGGACGTAGTACTTTTGTTAATGCTAACATTTTGAAACAAACTATTAATTACACACAACAGGGCTACAATAACACATTTAATAGGTATACAGGGTGTTTTTTTGGGAGCTTTAGTTAAAAGTTTCTGGGAAGTAAAATAGGTAGGTTTTTGAAAATTTGTACTTAAGAGTTACTCTGAAGGCCGAATCGATGTAAAATATTTTCATAATGGCCGCACTTCCTGAAACACCGGAAGTAGATAGTAACTTCGTTATTTTAAATGGCAACCCCTATTTTTTATTGCATTTTTGGATTCTACGTGAAATTTCACTTTTTTTGATACCCATATGTCGATATCTGCCATTTATGGTTTTTAAGTTATTTTGACTTAAGAAAAAAAATGGCGGATGCAGATGGTACCTTCATAATTGATTACTTGAAAACGGTTGTAGTCATGGCAACCTATTTTTATCAGTGCATAGAGAATGAATAGGGCTTTCTTTTAGTGCACTTAAAAAAAAGTTAAGTTGCGTACGACCGCCCCTATGGATATCCAAATTTATGAAACTTCAAAGACTAAAAACTCAGTTTTTTTAAATGGAATGACCATGTTCTTACTATTCCATGAGATAGAGAATCGAAATGGGCATATTTTGACAATACATGTTCCTATAGCTATCTTTAACAGTTTCTGACTTATTCCCATTTTATTGAATTGACACTATTTTTTTCGGATTTTCTTTTTAGTAGTCGGCCATGATTTTATAACAATTGAATTTTAAACAATTCTAGTGACACTAATCCGTCACCTACTGTTATAGGTTAACATAAGTTTTTCAAAAATCGAAAAATGACTCGCAGTGGTTTCACCTATTTTGGAATTTAATTGTTATTTATGGTGAAATGGACAGAATCGCGGCGCGTGCTTTCCGTACATTCATTCGAAAACTGGAACGAAATTGTATGAATTTTGGAAATTTTGTACCCCTAATGCACTACAAACCGTTGAAGCACAAGTGATACAAAGCTCTACAAGAGAATATTTAAGAAAATGAATTGAATTGCAAATGCAAGATTAACAAAATAAATTCAATGCAAAATATAAAAAACTTCGTTGAAACATTTTTGGTATGGAATTGTTGCTAGAACAGATATCGTATTACCTCTCTTAATTTCCAGACTTATACGTTGTTTAAGAAATTCAGTTGAACGACTCTGTTTAGATTTTTCAAAAATTTTCCGTCCTATATCCTTAATAAATGAGTTATTTATTAATGAATTATTTAAACTAGAACTAGAATCAATGGTATTAAAATATCCATTCCTTGATTTGTTTAAAATCATGGCCAACTACTAAAAAGAAACTGCGAAAAAAAATGGCATCAATTCCGAGATCAATTCAATGAAATGGGAATAAATCAGAAACTGTTAAACATAGCTATAGGAACATGTAATATCAAAATATGCCAATTTCGATTCTCTATCTCATGCAATATTAAGAACATGGTCATTCCATTTAAAAAAACTGAGTTTATAGACTTTGAAGTTTCTTAAATTTGGATCTCCATAGGTGCGGTTGTACGCAACTTAACTTTTTTTTAAGTACACTAAAAGAAAGCCCTATTCATTCTCTATGCACTGATAAAAATGGGTTGCCATGACTATAACCTTTTTCAAGTAATCAATTATCAAGGTACCATCTGCATCCGCCATTTTTTTTCTTAAAGTCAAAATAACTTAAAAACCATAAATGGCAGATATCGACATATGGGTATCAAAAGAACTGAAATTTCACGTAGAATCCAAAAATGCAATAAAAAATAGGGGTTGCCATTTAAAATAACGGAATTACTATCTACTTCCGGTGTTTCCGGAAGTGTGGACATTTTGAAAATATTTTACATAGATTCGGCCTTCAGAGTAACTCCTAAGTACACATTTTCAAAAACCTACGTATTTTACTTTCCCAGAAACGTTTAACTAAAGCTCCCAAAAAAACATCCTGTATTGTATTTCCCTCGCTGTATTGAGTGCTGCCCAAAGGCAAGTATAATGAGTTCACCTCTCTTATGGTAGGATAGCACCTTAGATGAGCATGCGACCCGCCGTTCTACTATCTGCGGCCCATCACCATGATTGCAAATTATAAAAATGAATTGTATCGCATGTTCAAAGCTGTTTTCAAACCTCAAACAGAATCCATCTGGCTACGTTTGTTTCTCAGAAGGTGAACAGTTGAAAACAAAAAGTTTGACTTTTTGGGATGATATCGTATCTTACTATCCATGTAAGATAGAAAAAAAAGGTATAAACTGTCTATTTTAGATATATTTACGTAGTGGCGTAGTCAAAAAAACTTTTGGACCACCGTTTCTGATGTTTGATCCAAACTTGGAATGTTTTTTAATGTGGAACACCCTGTATATTTTAACATCAATTGTTTGCATTGATACCTATACTTTTATAATCAATTAAATTCTTTTTTTTTACTGAAGTTTTTAAATAGTAGGTCATGAATTCATGGCGATTTTGTGTTGTTTATTGTCTCCATGGTAACTAAGGCAGCCCATACCAATCAATGAAAATGGCTGACGGTTGAAACATTTAATGTCAGAATTTTGAGAAATATGATAAAATATATACCTAACTATAAAAAAAAATATGGATCCTTGGATACATCAATGTAATCACGAAAAAGAATGCAACAAATTGACGTTAAAATATACAGGGTGTTGCATTTAAAAAATACCAAGTTTGAGTCGAATCACAGAAATTGTTTTTTGACTACGCCACTGGATTCTACGTAAAAATATCTAAAATAGGCAGTTTTTATCTTTTCTATCTTACATCGGTAGTAGTAAGATATGATAACATCCCAAAAAGTCAAACTTTTCGTCTTCACCGAGGTCTTCACCCTGTATCTCAGAAACAAACGTAGTAGGATAGATTCTGTCTGCCGTATTAAGTTTCCCAAAAAAACTGGTACCTGATCGCTGTGTTTCACAACAGCACTTCAATCTCAACCAGAATAGGACACTACATTTTCTTGGCCTTGATTTATGATTACTTGTATTTTTTCGTTTTATTGTATTATTTTGTATACCTACTTTTTATGTTTTCAACCATGTATAACAAGTCATTCAAATAATAAACATGGGTAAAATTTTCATTATTTCTTCAGTTTGCCATGGAAACAATTGACATTTTGCGTTGCATTTTGCAATGTTACAATTGTCTGGCCCAGTAGTTTTATTAAAGAATAAATTAACCTAAAAAAATATAATAACGGAATTTAACATTATAACAAATGTTCAAAGTGCATTTCATTATTAACCGAGCACATTCGGCACTGTTTAGGTACTGTAGCGCTCGCTGCAGCAGTTACCTTGCGCCTAGCCTTGTGCAATGAATTCCTGTTAAACAAATGTTACATTGTAAAATGGCAATTAGGTCTCTATGCTAGTTTTGTTCCAATGGCCAACTATGGAGAAAAAATGAAAATTGTAATTCTATCCATGTTTAATATGTATTTGAGTGATAACACATGGTTGGAAAGAGAAAAAAATATTGTATCAAATTGAGTAAAAATCCAATATGGCGTCCATTTAAAATAAGGAACGAAAACCGCCATTTTTAAAATTTTTCTACGTCCATTGAATTTATCCCATCGAATTTTGCAACTTTTATTTCAAACTAAACTAGTAAAATGTTTGAACTTTTTAAAAATGTCGATTTTCCAATTATCTACGAAACAATTTATTTTTTTCAAAATATCGCATCAGAATATCTATCAGCATCAAAAACTACACAACTTTGTCAATTTAACCGAATCTGTTAGTATAATAATAACAAAGATAGCTATGTTATCCTACTCAGTTTTAGACACCCTGTATAAAAATCATGTGTCACGGTGTTGGTGGTCGCACTGCTCCGAAACGGCCAGTCGGGTGAATAAGGAGGCTGAGGCGCAACAGGATTGGACAAGAAACAGGTCACAAACATTGCCATGAATCATGATACAACGCCCAGCTGTTTTTGATATTTGGGCCCGCACGCATGACCCTTTTCTGAAGCCTCTCGGTTAATGGTTAACGGTTTGACCTTGAGGCACAATTTGTGCACGATGCCATGGCTATCAAAAAAGTAAATCACCATGCTTTTGATGCTCATTCTTGCTTTTTTTGACCTTGGAGATGTTACCGTGTGTCATGCCATGCTCTAGGCACTAGCACTTGGTCTCCGGTTCTTACTCAAATACCCAAGTCACGTCATTTGTCCCCCAGTGTTGCCCGATCGTGCGGCACATTGCCAGTCTTATTAATTTATTTACAGAACTCGTATTTGAGGTTGGTACCATTTTTACACATTGATTTTGACTGCGACCGCCATCTTGGATTTTTTAAATGGCAACATAGGTCATGTGATTCGTCATTAGAAAGCTTATTTTTTCTCTTTCTTACTACTTTAATGTTAATGTAGAGAATAATGCAGAAAAATTAGACAGTCCTCTTCATACGATATAAGATTCAATTGTTTTCAAATTTTTAAATATAATTTTAGTTTGATGAAACGTTTTTCTTGGTGGATGCACGGGGCGGCTAGGCTACTCTGCCTGAACTTTAATCCGGCACTGACCTTAATCATTTAATAATAGAAAACATTTAGTAAGTAGTTGAAGTTTTATCTCTTCTTTTGGTAAATTTTTGAAGAAAGTTCAAAATTCAAGGTTTCAATTGTTTCTTTTCCAAGGCTGAAAAGACCAAATCGGCCATCCATTGGCGTAACATTGAACCTTTGTAGCTTGTTGATTGACTGTCGAAAATGAAGACGATTCACAGGAATCGAAGAAACTGTTGCATTCGTACATATTTTTAAAAACTACACAGGACGTTCGATTAAAAACTGACTACATTTGCTTTTTTTTTTTATTAACGTTCCGATCTTCATTTGTTTTTTTACTTAACATTTTCTGGCGATTTATGATAAACCCCACAACTTTTGTATTTAAAATGTTTTTCTATCTCTCATAATAACCGCGTTACGCGCTGTCTAAATATTCGGAGTAGCCCTGCACATTTTTTTGATCATATAATGTTTTGAAAACATTTTGGGATAAACTCGATATTGAAAACCAAACTGGTCTACAGTCTTTTGCATTTGTTATGGGTAAAAGTATCATGGGGTAAAGTTTCTTCTTTTTTTATTAAGTTATCGGAAATGTGTTTATTATGAGTGTTTCTTTGTGATAATAATAATAAATATACGGAGTCTAGTAAAAAAGTTATCGGACTTAACCTCGTTTTCTAAATAGATTCAATTCAAAAAGATTAAAAAGACATTTTTTGTATTTTTTTTTAATCATTTGGATCGTTTTTAATCTTTAACGATCTTTTTTAATTTTTTCGAATATTTTTTCGATATCGCCCCAAGTGTGCTATAGTTTTGAAAAGAGAATTTAGTATGCTATCTGTTTCAACTAGAATAAACAGGGTGTTCTATTTAAAGAATGAGAATAAGTCGACTTTTTTACTTTGCCCCGTATCCTTATTTTGAAAACGGTAGATTGTGCAACAATCATTTGTAATAAACACATTATATATACAGGCTGAGGAGGGCCACCATGGGATATCAAAAACTGTAAGAGATAGGTAGGTAGTTTAAATTTGGCAAAGTTGCGTATTTTGATGTTTAACAAAATGCCGTTTTGAAACTGAAAAAAATACGACTACTTTCGGAGATATTTTGCAAAATCGTTTCTATTTTTTACCGAAGCAACAAAATCTGAGACTACAATATTCCGTGTTGAGAAATACTAAATCCCAGTCTTGTTTGAATAGATTATCATTGAAGTCTATGTATTGTTTTTGGATAAAGAAATTATCATGTTTTGAATTTACTTACTTTAGGACAAGAAAATCATGCAGTCTTTAATTAATTTTCCATTACTTAATACCTTTTATATTTCAAGTGAAACAAACAACTTCACAAACAATGCAAGGTTAAACACAACAATTTTATTATTTATAGCAACATTATGTGGACTTTATATACTTACGCTTCATTCATTTAAATTTAGTAAATAATTACCGTATATGAATATGCTAAGTGCAAGTGGAAATTTTTGTGGGAAATTTTTTTAAGTATAAAAGTTGTGCTTGAGTCGTAATCGATTTGAATAATAATATATATTAATGTCGTGAAAACTGTACCTATTTGCTTTTCATGTGGAAGTAGTACAAATTACAATGGAAGATGAAATGGGCTTATTATAAGTAATGCACATTGAATCACATTTTTGTTTCAACATTCAGAAGTCTAAAAATACTAATTAGGTAATAGAAAAAAAAACACGACCAGTTGGTACCACTCTCATATCGAATAAAACTAAGTAAAACTGGCCAGGTCAGAGCTTGTCGAGGTGAAGCCTATAACCGAACGTTAATTTCATCAATGATTTTTTTTACAGTTAAAATGGGTCGATTTTCGGGGAAAAAATGTCGGTTGCTATCCATGCTGTGGCTAACCGGAGGATTTTTTCTTGTGGAGCTGATAGTCGGTTACATCACGAACTCCATGTCATTAGTAGCGGACAGTTTTCATATGTTAAGCGACGTCGCAGCGCTAATAGTAGCGTTTCTCTCTGTTAAGGTAAGGAAGAGAGCGTTAAACAATGTGTAATTGAAATGCAGTATCTTATTTTTTCAGATGTCCCCAAAGAAGTGGTCGAAAAATACATTCGGCTGGGCGAGAGCCGAGGTATTGGGCGCCCTAGTAAATGCAGTCTTCCTGGTTGCTCTCTGTTTTTCGATCACTGTCGAAGCGTGTAAAAGATTTATAGAAACTACGGAAATACACGATCCACAGTTATTGCTCACTGTTGGCGTTATTGGCTTAATCGTCAATTTGATTGGATTATTTTTATTTCAAGGTAAATAATTTTTGATGACCATCTCAATAGTTTACTTCTTAAATGAAACAGGAAATTTGATTTTTGTTCAGCGCACGTAGCAACCAATGTTCTGTGAATGAGTATCCATTGTAATTGTTACAATTGGTACAAGGTAAAAGTAAAATATGACATATTGGTAGTGTAAAAGTGCCTAGGTGAGTATGGTTACACGAAGGACTTATTATACCTATAAGAATACAATCCTGCTGTATACAGGGTGATTCCTATAGTACCTGCCACCGTTTGGGAGCGTATAGGGGGTGCCTAGGGGAAGTCTTTTCATATAGGACACTTGGGGTCGGAAATCCAAAATAAGGGCGCCAGAACCAAATTTATCTTCTGGAATTTCACGCCTGTATGTAGGCAACCCAACCGACCGACGTTTCGCGCGGAGCGATGCAGAGCGAGTTAGCGCGAGGAAGCGACATGGGAGGGAAGGAGGGAAAACGACAGTCAAAAGCAATAACGTTTACAAGTGTTCAACGTGGCCACCGTTGTTCTCAATGCACTTCCTACATCTAGCCAACTATTATTATACTATTGCCATAGTGTTTATTCACTTGATACGCGTCGTTGCAGACGGGATTTCGTGGGTTTAAACAAAATTCTGATCAAGTGTCAGCCACACATCGCCGCCTGAGATCGCTCCGTGTGCACCGCCGGCCGGTTGGGTTGCCTACCTACAGGCGCGAAATTCCAGAAGGTAAATTTGGCTCTGGCACCCTTATTTTAGATTTCCGACCCCAAGTGTCCTATATCAAAATACTCCCCTACGCACCACCTACACGCTCCCAAACGGTGGCAGGTACTATAGGAATCACCCTGTATACGACTGAGCCGACCTTGAAATTCTTGGATTTAGAAATTGGGACATGTACAGGGTGAGTCAACGATTGCGCAGAGTAACAGATAAGATTTTTCGATAGAGTGCTTTTGTATTATGATATGGTTCAATATTCTCCACATTTTAAAAATATTTGGAATTATACAGAGTGCTCCCACAAAGTAGGGCGCCCAAATGGTACATTTTTTTAAATAGAACCCCTTGTATTTGAATGCATTTTTGAATTCTACGTGTAATTGTACGACTTTTTTATTGTATGGTTAATATCCGAAAGGTAGTAGTTTCAAAGATAATTCGATTTTTAATAAAAATTGGACATTTGCAAGCGTCAGTATATATTGTCAAAATTATTACTGAAATTTTGATTACAGGTTTTATATCTTATCCTGGGTTAAGCAAAAGTCAAATAAATACATCTACTATGAAACATTAAAAATGCAACTTACAGGGTGTTTTTTTGGTGGATCCAAAGTTGAAAAGCTTCATATTAAAAAATCTTATTTTTTTAAATGGAATACCCTGTATATTTTTCTGTCATCATTTAGCTCCTCCAAAAACCTTCAACTTTTGATAATAATGTCCTATACCTATCTCTGATAGTTTTCGAAATAGCTTGGTTTTTCTGGTTTTTATATTCTAATCTTAAATAAGTTATATGTAATTTACATAATAGTGAGGTGGACATGCAAAAAAGGCAATTTTTATCTATCTCGTCCAAAACGAAAATCATATCGATTAATTTATTTTCCAAAAACTGGAGAATAAGTAAAAACATTTGACTACAAAGTAAATTTAACTCCTAATGTCATCCAGTCAGTGATATTAGTTTCATTTTTTTTTCATATTCAGCTCGGTATTATGTAAATTAGAACTTATTTCAGATTAAAATATAAAAAGTAGAAAAACCAAGATATTTGTTTATGTTTTTACTATCAAATTTATTCTCCAGTTTTTATAGACTTAAATGAATTATTAGAAAAATGAATTATAAAATATGATTTTAGCTTTGAACGAGGCAGATAAAAATTGCCTTTTTTTTGCATGGCCACCCCGTTATTGTGTAAATTACATATAACTTATTTAAGATTAGAATATAAAAACCAGGAAAACCAAGATATTTCGAAAACTATCAGAGATAGGTATGGGACATTATTATCAAAAGTTGAAGGTTTTTGGAGGAACTAAAAGATGACAGAAAAATATACACGGTGTTCCATTTAAAAAAAGTGAGATTTTTTAATATGAATTTTTGTAACATTGGATCTAGAAAAAAACACCCTGTAAGCTATTTTTTTTATGTTTTATAGTGCATGTATTTATTTGACTTTTACCCAGGATAAAAGATAAAACCTGAAATCAAAATTTAAGTAATAATTTTGACAAAATACTGACGCTTGCAAATGCCCAATTTTTCTTAAAAATCAAATTATCTTTAAAACTATTAGCTTTTCGGATATTAACCATATAATAAAAAAGACGTACAATTACACGTAAAATTCAAAAATGCATTCAAATGCAGGGGGTTCTATTAAAAAAATTGTACCATTAAGGCGCCCTACTTGTTGGGCACACCCTGTATAATTCCAAATATTTTTAAAATGTAGAGAAAATTCAACCATATCATAATACAAAAGCATTCTATCGAAAAATCTTATCTTCAAGGCATTAAGTTACTCCGCGCAATCGTTGACTCACCCTGTACATACATTCTAAACACATAAACAAATCAAAAAAGTAAATAGTAAAATACAATGGTAATACGAACAACAGGTAAGTGAACTTACAAATTTAATGTTAACGCCAAAGTGTTCATTTTTTACTAGCTTCATTTTTAGCTCCAACTGGAAGTACGTTTTTGAACTCTGTAGCAGTTCCCAGAAACTATTTTATCGATGCTGGGATGAAGTTGAATAATTCTTCCTATCCTCCACCTTGTTGGAGGTAGGTTATCTTCCTTTATTATAATTATGTCATCAAGTTTTGAGCTTTTCCTTTTCATCGTCATTTACTCCATTGCTGGAGATCATTAGGTAATGTATTCTTGTGACCATCTTTTCCAAGTGTCTATTCAATGTTGATATCGATTTAATCTTGATGTTGGAATATCCATCACGTCTGGGTCAGCAATCGTAGTAAAAGGACGGCCGATTAAGACATGGGCCGGTGTAAGGACGTCTAGGTCATTGGGTTCACTAGTTAAGGAGGTTAGTAGATGAGAATTTGAATTAATACTATATTGAAATCTTTGTATGTTAACGGATTAATTGACATTATTCGTTTTAGATGATGTTTACCCCTGCCTCCCAAAGTCCGCCAGAATTGGGGGAACGAGCTGGAATAAACAGCCATGTGTTACCTTCTACTGGCATCACATTGGTTATTGCAGTAACGTCATTCTTTGGAAAATCATCAGGTTTACATTCATTTTTGGCACCAACGAACCAGAAAATATGTGCACGACCAATGAAACGTCTTAAAGCAGCAATAAAGCATTCTGAACTTAAATCAGTGCCTAATTCGCAATGCATTGATTTGGTGGAAAAACAAACAAATAAAGAAATGTCGCATTTTGATTTTTTACTGCCTCTGCCCTTTTTGTCCTTAATGATAAACGGTCCTGCATAGTCTATTCCGGTTGAATGAAAAGGTGACATGATAGTGTTTTGTTATACTGGTAATTGGGGTTTTGACGAGTTTCTTGACGTTTGATTTAAACAAATTCCCTTATATTTTGTAACAATAACTTTGAAAAAATGTTTAGACTAACTACTACTACTAACTACTAACTGTAAAAAAGCAAAAAAATAATAGGGGTGCCCGTGTGGCGCAGTTCAGTTTAAAGCTGAACTGTGGTGCTATAAGGGTCCCTGGTTCGGGCATGGATATTTGTAAATGTATAGTGGGTTGGGTTGGTAGAGCAGCTTTGGCTGAAACCCCGCCCACTCAAAAATAAAGGCAAAATAAATAATAGATAAATGTTGATTATTAATTTTAGTTTGCCAGCAGACAAAAAAAGTTTGAGAAACACTGGTTTGGTATCTACTATCTAGAGTGTAATAAATTATTAAATCGTGGTCAGTATGGGTTTCGAAAAAATCATTCTACAACAGAAGCTGTGGACCAAATTATATCTCTAGTAGTAAAATCCTGGGAGAACGGGGAACATTCTTCATTAATACTCTGTGATTTGTCCAAGGCTTTTGACTGTGTTTCGTTTGATATTATATTAGATAAGCTTCAATTATATGGGATTAGGGGACTAGTGGGATCGTTAATGTCAACCTACCTTAATAATCGCAAGCAATGTGGTTTGATTGACGGTTGTACCAGAGATTAGGGTGGGTGAGTAAAACCACAATGCCAAAAAACCCAAAACTGATTTTATCGCCGGCCGTGAACAAGAAAACTAAAATAACATTGCATAAACAAAAAAATCTCTCTTAACCGCGACGCAACAACAATTCAAAATGAGCTCTCTATAAACCAAACCAAACACGCATGTCGCCTGAACATGAAACCTTATCAAAAATAGCCCACGGGCGTAATTTAAAGGCTTTCCAGTGGCGTTCATTCTCAAACGAATAACTAAAATAACTACTCATTCTAACGTACAAATTAATATCCTGTACACGGTATATATTCTAAGCATGGAGTCCCTCAAGGGTCCATATTAGGGCCTTTACTGTTCATTATATACATAAATGACTTTTTCGAATATATATATCCTAATCACGCAGTTGCATATGCTGACGATAGATCATTACTGATTTCGGACCAAAATATCGAAACTCTAGCCCTTAGTCATAATTTAATACAATTAGGAATAACCTGGTTTAATCAGAACAATTTAAAATAAATGAAGATAAAACTCGCATAATTAGCCTCTCCACAAACAATAAGGTTGCAACCGGCAGGTATGTTAAAGTTTTAGGCATATATATTGATGAAAAACTCACTTGGAGCAATCACATTGATTTAGTTTTATCTAAGTTATCCAAATCATTATTTATTTTAAGGAATTTAAAACGATCACTTTGTATAGCCACTCTAAGATCGTGCTATTTTTCTTTAGTTCATTCACATTTACAATATGGTGTAATTTTGTGGGGTAACTCTTCCAAAGCGAGCAAGGCGTTTTTATTGCAAAAAAAAATAATCTGTATAATCGTAAATGGTGACCATCGTGCTCACTGTCGACCTATTTTTAAAAAATGAAATATGCCTCTTCCATCTATTTTCATATATTACACCATATTGGAAATTCATAAAAACAAAAATAAATTTGAAACCAATGACTTTTCTCACAACTATTCTACACGAGGAGCCAAAAAAATAAAAACGCCCTATTATAAACTAAGTAGGTCTAAAAATAACAGTCTAAGGGTCGACTTATACAATATCGTTCCTGATTGTATTAAACTTTACAATTTTTTTAAATTTAAAAGAGTCGTTAAGGCGCACTTATTAAGTCATTCTTTTTATAACGTTAGTGAATATTTACATACGCCTTGGAGATCTATTCAATAATTTTAATGATATTTATTTATTTCATTGTTTGTTTACTTGAACTTTTTGTGCCTGTGTAGTAGTATTTTCTTTAGTCATTTTTACCTTTACTTGTTTATATTTTATCTCTGTTTTGTCTCTTTTTAACTAAAATTTTAAATTGTTTATAATCTATATTCTGTTTTAGCCACATGGTCTGTCTAGCTTTTATTTATTTGAAATTTTAAACTGTTTTTATTATTCTTTTTATATATATGCATTGTACTAATTTAATATTTACCATATTTTCTGACGTGTCAAAACCTATTTTTGGTATACGGACAAATAAAGATTGATTGATACTATAGACAAACTAATTGCTGACGCAGAAAATTGTGGCGATGAATGATGGGGATTGGAATGGATTGCTTGAATCTGCAAACATTTCTTATTGTCGCCACTGTCTCCATAAAATTACTGCATTCCTAAAGACAGTGTGGCCATAATGTTCTATGTCGTCCATTTTTTTTCCAATTTATCATTGATCTGATTGGTTTAACCGAATTGGTAGATTTTGTATGGTTACAATAATGCTGCCACAATTGTGTCCAGCAAGATAAATTCATCACCTTGGTTTCCAGGTTAATTTATTTATTATCCCTCTCTTGTTCTGGGCCCTCGATAGGCTTTCGCCCAATTTGATTTTGAGATTTCCCCGGATCTTTATGTTTCAAGGTCCCAGGAGTCCAAAAAAGTGTATGCGCGTGCAGCAAAATATGAAATTCCCTTTTGGCTATTTAAATGATATTGGGAATAGAGACAGTGGTGACCATACGAGCCCGGCGCCATGTTGCATCGAAAATTCAAATTAGAAGTAGGCAACTGTCATCTGATTCATCCTAGCATTCTCGATTCCGTCGGAGATTTTTCATCGACGGTTTAAAGCAAACGGGAAACATAACCTCATTCTAACCTATAATTTCATTGGCAGCAGGATTACCTCGATTTGTATTGTTGAGATTTTGTGACGGTTTTTACAGGTACGATTTTTTATTCAAAGGAAGGCATACGGTATTAATTCTTAGTTTGTGTTTGTAAATTGTTATTAATTATTATTATTAACTAAATTGAAATATTACATATTAAGTGTTAATTTCTTTCAGAGCACGGTGGTTCGTCGCACTCCCACGGAAGACTGTCGGGTAGCCGTAATCGACTGAGTCAATTAGCCGTCACAGATGACAATGAAAATGATGCAACCTACCCGAGCCCCCCGCCTGCGGTTAGTGCGAAGCACTCGATGCACGGTCACTCGCACGGCTCCTCGGCGGGGCAAATGAACATGCGAGGTGTATTTTTGCACGTATTATCGGACGCGTTAGGGTCGGTTATTGTGATCATTTCCGCCACAATATTTTGGCTAACGGATTGGAAGTACAAAGATTACATCGATCCGGGACTTAGTGTTATTTTAGTTATTTTAATTTTACGTTCCGTTTGGCCACTTTTGAGGGATTCCGCTTTAATTTTATTACAAACAGTTCCTACGCATATACAAATCGACGCAATTCAAAGGCGCCTTTTGACAAAAGTCGACGGTGTTCTCGCCGTGCACGAGTTCCACGTCTGGCAACTTGCCGGCGACCGCATTATCGCATCGGCGCACATAAGATGTAGAAACCTATCGGAATACATGAGAATAGCGGAGAAAGTGAAAGAGTTTTTCCATAACGAAGGAATTCATTCGACGACAATTCAACCCGAATTTATCGACTATCGTGAATACCCGGAAAGCACCGAGGAGAACGAACAGCAAACCGAAGATTGTATACTCGACTGTCCTCGGAGCACGTCGAATGATACCTGTATATTGAACACTTGCTGTGGACCGTCGAAACAGGTGATTTATTATTTATCGTAGCGATTTTAGTAACTTTTCTTCTGCAGTATAGCTTAACTCAGGTGAATGTTAACCGAAGTAGAGGAGCATGAATGTCCACGGTGATGGGTTAACCCTTTTTAATTTAATTTATTTTTATGGGGTTTATTCTTAGTTGTCATTGCTTGTTTTTCACCAAAGCGCGTTTGTAGCATGCCATAAACATTTTATTTGTCTCTCGGTTAGTATAATTTTATCTTTACTAACTTACTATTATAATTCTTTAGAGATAATGTTAAATGATTGACAGAAAGAAAGTATTACTTAATAAATGCATGAAGATTCTCAAAAACTCTGAGAATTTTTATTATTTCGTTTTTTGGTATTTTATTTGCGAATTTGATGTGCCAAAGTGAAATAATTTGCCATATACTCCCAAGTTAAATGCATAAATTAGAGTCAATGACGTTGACCAATTGCAAAACAAAGGGACAAGTGTGTTTCTTAAAAAGCAATAATTAGGATGATAGACGAAATGCATTTAACTTTCATATAATAGTTTGGAACTACCCTCTAGACTCCCACTATACAATGAATTAAAGGAAGTTGTGTAGATCTAGTGGCGTGCGATATTTGTTTTCCTGCATTTGACAAACTGAAATCTAATGGAACCGGGCAATCCATTAACAGAGTAATTAGACATGCCCAGTAAGTATATCTTATTAGTCCAGGCTATATAATATTTTTGTATGAAAAAAATTAGGTACCGGGCTAAACCGGGTTTTCGGGCAGGTAAAATGAATAGAATTTGGGAAAAAATAATTAAAACAGCTGAATTTTCCGCGGGTGAAATCACGGGGGTTGAAATGGGTGGAAAGTGGTATTTTGCAAATTCTGGTAAAACTATTGATTTTAGACGAAAATGTTAAATGTAAAGGTTATAGAGATTAAAAAAATGAGCAACTTTTGTATCTGCACTATTTTCACATAACCTCCAATTTTCCTAGAAAAACCGGAGAAAATGTTTGTTTCGTTTTTTATTCTTATTTTTGCGAAAAAATGTCATAGGGGTTTGAAATTTGGAGATCACATAGCCTGTTTTATGATAAAACAGAAGATAATTGTTTGGGCCCATAAAGTTGAACCGTTTCCAAGATCTCACGATTTCTGAAAAAAACCACCTCCTTTTCAAGGGGATGAAAAATCTATTTTTTTTCATCGTACAGAGGTGCGCGGGGTAGCAAAATTTTCGGGAAGACTTATATTTTAATAAACAAAAAAAATTATTCCTATAGCAAAAATTCGAGAAAATCGCCAAAAACCGGAAAAACAGTTTTAAGATATACACGGTTTTTGACATGATAAATCAACATGTTGGATGTTAATAAAGATTTTTTCGAAATCTGTCTTCTTCCTTCTCTTTAATGTTTGCCTAAATATTCTCTTTTGTTATCTTATGCTCAACTGTTTTAGTTAAAACATCTTCATTATTTCTTTTTTCTGCATTTTTACGGCAATAAAAGCAATTCGAAATAAAATCGAATTATGTATCTTGCTTCCTGATTCTTGAACAATTTATTTTTGTTCACTGATTCTTCTTCCTGCTTGTTTTATAGCTGATGCAATTGCGTTGGGCCTGTTGATAAACTTGCAAAATATGCTATAAGAACGTTGGTGTTACCGGCCAAAAGCAAATGATTTGAGATGTCAAACCTGCAGGAATAAACTTTATGAGGATTTTATTCATAATTCCTGTAAATTAACGATCAATAGGCCCAGCTTAATCCCATCAGCTGTAAAAGAAGAGTTAGTGAACAAAAACAAATTGTTCAGGAAGCAAAAGAATTCGATTTTACTTTGAATTGCTTTTATTGCAGTATAAATGCGCAGAAAAAAGAAATAATAAAGATGTTTTAATTAAGGCAGTTGGGCACTGGGAAACAAAAGAAAATATTTTAGAAACATTAAAGAGGAGAGAGAAGACAGATTTCCAAAACTTTTTATTAGCGCGGATCCAACACGTTAATTTATTTGCAAAAAAGCCTATACTGTCAAAAACGGTGTATCTTAAAACTGTTCCCCCCGTTTTTGCCGCTTTTCTTGAAATTTTTCTATTGAAATAATATTTTTTATTTTTGATTATTAAAATGTAAGTCGTTACGAAAATTTTACTACTCCGCGCACCTCTGTACGATGAAAAAAAAAGATTTTTCATCCCCTTGAAAAAGAGGTGATTTTTTACAGAAATCGTGAGATCTTGGAAACGGTTCAACTTTATGGGCCCAAATATCTTCTGTTTTATCATAAAACAGGTTATGTTACCTCCAAATTTCAAACCCCTACGACATTTTTTCGCAAAAATAAGAATAAAAACGAAAAAAACAGTTTTTCCGGTTTTTCTAGGAAAATTGGGGGTTATGTGAAAATAGTGCAGATACAAAAGTTGCTAATTTTTTTAATCTATAACTTTTGCATTTAACATTTTCGTCTAAAATCAATAGTTTGGCCACAATTTGCAAAATACCACTTTCCACCCCTTTCAACCACCGTGATTTCAGCCGCGGAAAAATTCAGCTGTTTTAATTATTTTTTCCCAATTTCTATTCATTTCACCTGCCTGAAAAACCCGGTTTCGCCCGGTAACTAATTTGTTTTCCTGCATTTGACAAACTGAAATCTAATGGAACCGGGCAATCAATTAGTAATTAGACATGATCAGTAAGTATATTTTATAAATATTTAAACAGAAGTAGGTACTCTAAAAGTACAAATCGCACGCCACTGGATTTAGACAACCTCCTTTAATGCCTTGTACATTATTAACGTCTATGCGCTTATAAATTTTGCTCATTCATTGGGAGTTTAGAGGTTGGTTCCAACGGCGCGCATGACCAGCTTTATACTTACAGCGATATTGAGAGGAACAATAAACTTTTTTATAAAACATGGTACACAAAGAATACTGTACCAGATAACAATTTATGTGCGAAACTGTAAATATGGTTACTATTTTGTAGGGTTCGGATACACCATCTCCGGCAGATACTCCATATTTATGTAGGCAACGTACTAGCACGAATGTGTCTAATAATGTGCAAGAAATGAATGAACTTGAGAAAGGTGCGTTACTGGATAGAGGTAATCCGTCTCAACAAATCGACTGTAACTGTGGACCTCATTTGGGACCTCCGCCGTGTTACGAAGCGGCAACGTCTGTTTGACAGTGGAGGAAGTAAATTAAAAAAAATTATACAAGATAGGAAAATCGTGTTTGGTTTCTTTTTGCACATTGATATTCTCAATGGAAGCTCTTAACGGTGCCAACTAGTTTTCGATTTTCTGGTATAAAACATGATTTTGACAAAATGCACTATATCGGTAGTGGATTTAATACACAACATTAGTTAATAAAAAAGATGCCTCTGTACAGTAATTAATTTTAATAGTTTATAATGTAGATAATTACATTTTAATAATTATCGTAAGAGATAAAGTTTTAAAATCTAGTCGTTTAGTTATTATTTTCTTATGCGAGATTTTATGTTGATCTCAATTTGTATAACAAATGTTGTTAATTAAATATGGATATTGTTTCAAGAGATTTGTGGTACTTCTTAAAAATTATGGATCTCATATAGAAAACCATTGTTAAAAAATCTTAACGTTTGTTTAAAACGTCAATTACAAAAAGGTATTTTTTGAATGATTCGTGCAGTTTGTTTTTTGATTTTCATATTGAACTCGAAATTGTAAAGTTTACTATTTGATCCATGTAAAATATGTCACTACAAATAAATATGATTAAATTTATTGTTTAATTCTAACCCCCTTCTCAAATATTATATGAATAAAGGTAGAAATGAAAACTAACTGCTTATGACAAACAAATTCCTTCTCCATCCCTTACTAAATTTGATGTATTGGTGCACACAATTGTTAAAATAACGTTTTATTAAAAACATTTGTTCAATATAAAGCGTGGTACACAATGCAACTCGCCCCGTAAACGTTAATCACAGAAATGAACGTAAATGCGCACAATAACCACCGTGAAGCGCCTCAACCCTGTTAACCGACGTACTAACTTTACTTTTGTTGACAGAAAATGGACTGCCGCTGAAAAATCTTGAAATAACCTGCATACATAAAAATGAACCCCTATTTAACCTGGTTATGTAATAATTTTAGAACGACTTTACCGATTTCATTCATCTTGTTTTTTAAAGCTTTGTAATACTTCGGAGAATTTATTCCTTTCTCAGTGCACAGTCTATTCTATCGGAACGTTTAACAAGTTGTCAGTGACTTTTTAGCATATTTTCCTGTAACTGAAAAATTGCCTTTACTTTGTCGTCCGTCCCTCACACATACTCCTACACGACTGAACTGATTTGGGTGATATGGGGCTCATTTGATCGTTGTATACCGATATTTTTGGTTTTGCGCATGCGCAGAGTTTTTTTTTAATCTAGGAAGATATTTAAATGAAACTATATGTAAATATGCACTACGAATGTAAGTGAAATTTTCGACGTTTTCATAACATTGATTTGCGCATACGCAATTCTAATTTTCAAATTTATGAAAGCATATTTAAATGAGATTTTCTACATAGACATTTGGAATAAATACAAACCTAACACCAGTTGCAAAATTTGAATTTGCGCATTTACAAAAGCATATAAATCAAATTTAATAAATAGGCATCAAATCTAACACGAGTTTCAAAATTTGGGCATGCGCAATTAAATTTACAGATCTACACGAGGCTGCTGCGCATTGCGACAACGTTAGCACTTTATTTTTTCAATATTCCTAGCTAATGTGATTAACGTTCCGTTGATAGTCTGTGATCTATATAATCGGTATTCTTTAAATCGGTAAGGTAAAAGTTTATAAATGTTGTATTTATATTATAAGTTATGCTTTCCCGAATTTTGACCCAATATTAAATCATTATTTGTGTGTTAACCTGGATCTCATTATACCATTTTTGTTTTTAGAAGCTGATGGGATGCAAACATTCAAAAACATTTCTCCAGACAGTTTCCAAAAAGCAATTTTCAAATGGCCCAAAAGAGCAATGGATATACAGGGTGTTTGGTAAACATGCGGCAAAAATGAAAGAGGTTATTCCTTGGACTATTCTAATGTTATTTTATCCTTTTGATGATTTTTTGAAAAAACGCTTCGTGCGAAGATACATGTGTAATCTGCCCTTATTACTTAAGACGGTTGGTTTGTGAAATCTCTATCATGCTCATTATTCGAATGCGTTTTTTTTCAAAAATCATCAAAGGATAATAAATATCATTAGAATAGTCCAAGGAATACCCTCTTTCATTTTTGCCGCATGTTTACCAAACACCCTGTATATGTAGGAAGTGAATTTTTATTTATTTTTTATTTCAGTTTCCAAAGTAGCTGTTTTATTTGTGTATATAGTGCAATAAAACGACAGGAGAAGGGATGTTCTTTGAATGAACCTCCATAGAACGTACACGGGACCAAGCATTAGGCCGCCGCCAGACAGGAATCAAAATTATGTAATAAATTGACATTAAAACCTTTGTACATAGATGAAATAAGTAAAATAACATTGGTTTCATTTCATTATACCTACCTTTTATTGTCCTACCTGCAATCTAATGTCTGCGTTGTAAGGTAACCTGCATGGTGTTTTCGTTCTAATGTCAGCAACCCAATGTCTCCGTCCTTATGTCCGCGTCCCAATGTCTGCGTCCTAAAGTCTTGCGGCCCATTGTCGTAGCGCCGGACAGCGACGTCGGAAGTACGTGTCAGAGGGGGCGAGTCGTCCCCTCAGTTGTTACACAAGGGGGGCCGCGCCCCCTCTAAGAATGAATAGATAAATCATTCAAAAGCGACTAACACATCTTCTACCTACGGCATGTGCGTGCAGAAATTACAAAGAGTGTAGAAGTAGAGGATACGTTGAAAGGATTTGCCAGCAAAACTGCGGAGAGGCGGAAAATTTTTGGATATATTTAATTTTTTATACTTGCTTTCTTTACAATGCTCAATAGTGCAATAAATAGGAACAAAATTTTTGTATGTTCTAGTTCTTCATTATTTTTTAAATAAATATTGATGATCTATGGGTATGGTCTGCTGCTCAATTGCATAACTAGACATCCTCCGACACTTTTTTAAATTTTTTCCAAAACTTCTTTCAAAAATACATTATTTGATTGATTAAATAAACAGGTTTCAGGGTCACTTACAAAACCCACTGCTTTGCATTAATTCGTACACAATTTTGCATGGGAGGGACGTTTCAGACTCTATGGTCGTTGATTTTTGCCCCCCCCCCCACCGTTATTCACTTCCGACGTCGCTGGCGCCGGACGTACAGTATGTACGTAGATAAACTGTCCATATCGTAGACATTTGGGCCTACAGTGGACGTCCAGTATGCAAATTCTGTGTATACGCGTACGGGCTATGTTAGTGCAGAAGGTCCTCATATGTACATACAGTGGACGTTTAATATACGTCTGTGTGTTGTGTCAAAGGGCGCGCGTTATTTTTGTATAAGGCCGGTTTAACGTCCACGCAAACCGAGGCGTGAATGCGGGAACGGGAGCGGGTTACATATCCCGCTGTACAAATATATCCCGCATTCGCCTCGCTCCCGTTCCCGCAATTCCGCGTCGGTGGACCTTTTATGCGCAGCGTTTTGCGTCGCGCATTTCAGAACGCGGAACTTCACGCGTCACGTGTTGTTCAGGGGGATTTTTCCAAAGAAATAAAATTCGCCTTCTGTGATGATTTTTTCCGTCCGTTCCTCGTCTAACTCGAGCACGTACAGAGACAGCGATGTCAAACCTTCGCCAATCGATTTCTACGAGTTCAAGGATCGGTGGTATTGAATATGGACCAGATTAAAAATCGGGACTTTAATAAATAAAAGAGTAAGAGGCAGCAATCGGCAGGTACGATTCTAATTTTCCCTACATTGTCCTATTGTGCAGAATCGCACGACTTTTTTCTATTTTGATATCATAATATCTTCATTATGACACCGAAAACAGTTTAATAATGGCCTCTATCATTAAACTTCGAATTCACCCACTCCGCAATACGCAAACGCTAGAGGGCTCAGCCCATCCAATGCTACAACCCTTAGCTACGCCACTGGGGTCGGTTGCACAAACGCAGTTTAAACCTCGCTTGGAATTAACCAGTTGATTAAGGTCTAGAATTTCTTCATATGTCTTAATCCATTGCGTTAATCTAAACGAGGTTTAAACTGCGTTTGTGCAACGGGCCCTTAGAGGTGCGGTTTGATCAAGTTTCACGTTTCATAATATTGAAGAAATTGAATAATGTACATTTCCACAGTAAAATGCAACGCAGTAAGACACAGGGACGGACCTAGACAAACAAATCGGGGGGGGGGGGGGGGCAGACATGACATTTTGCCAACTCAACTGTAAAAATTTCCAACTCAAACGAGTTATATAGTATCTATTAAATATTAAGTGGTATTTCCAAGTCTAATAAATCATGTAGAAAATGTAAGATATCAGTATACGGTCTCTAATACTAATTAAAAGCATTACCAAAATACCAACCTTGTGTTGAAGAAGAAGGAAGCGACTTTCCTATTAAAGAGTCCTTTTTTATAGATTTTGCCGCAATTTCTCATTCCTTCAATAGTCGACTTATCACATTTACGATTTACCTACTTTCGCGGCATTCGCCAACTAGTAATGAAAATTACCAACTCTTGTCAAAATTGCCAACTAGTTAAGTATTGGAGGGGCAGCCTGCCCCCCCATAGGTCCGTCGCTGGCTAAGACATGATGGTATTAATCGCCTTTTTTTGTTGCTATTGCCATTCTTGACACATGTTTTGAATTGTTGTTTTGTCTAGATCCAAATTTCCTACCAATTTCTCACGTGATGTCCTTAGTTGTCTAAAGTAAATGTGCTTAACGAATTTAAAGATCTATCAACATTTTGTCCATAATGTCAAAAATTATGGAAAAAGCCATTGGACTCGGAAGATACCTTATGCAAAACAATATTTTGCCTGAACATCAAACTGGACTTAGCGGCTGTAAAGCTTTGCTTGAGGCAACAGACGATGTATTACAAGCAAGAGACGCTGGTAAAGTTACCCTACTTAATAGATCACTCTAAAGTGTTTGATACGATCTCGCATAATGTTTTGCTCGCTATACTAATTTACATTGAGGTTTCACAATCTGGGATTTCACTAAACAATAATTATCTTGAGTAATCGTCAGCAATCAATATTTTACAATGCTCAGGCATCAAAAGTACTTAAAGTATCTCAATAGGTGTCCCTCAGGGACCCATATTAGGGCCGTTATTGTATTTAATTTACACACTTGATATTCTATCTTTGCTCCAAGGGCTTCGCCGATATGTCAAAAATGTAATTTGTAGGGGTAATTTAAAAATTTATTATTCGAAAACTGTGAAAGATATTGCAAAACAGTTTTCACTGCTTTATTAAGGAAAGATCGAATTTTCTTATGGTATCCGTAACCGTCTAAAAAAGTGAGACTATACCACTTTTTCAAAGCTCTCAACTTTTAAATTTTTAAATATCCGTAACGCCATTTTTCAAATCGCACCCCCCCATTTTTTTCTTCACTGTTGTTTTCCTTTTTCTGAGACCTTTAATTTGATACATAATTGTCAAAGGCTGTTTCAAACAGTTTCGGAGATATTCCATGTTTTAGTCACTTCTTGTAGCAAATTGATAAAAAATTAACTCGCAGCATATATACCATCTGATGGAAGTATTTAACCAAGTTAATTTTTAAAAAGGCTCAGATTGCATCTCTTATCAAAAAGCTAATCTTTAAACACTTCATTGAGACAGTTGCACCTTTGCTTATTTTTGATGGCTGCATTGATTTATATGCGTGTATGAAGTACTTGCGATTGTATACTTATAATTAATTACCTTGGTGTTTACTGAATATCCTTTTGCTTTAACTTTTATATGTTTATTCTATATTTTATATAGAGTTAGGTGGAAAGAGCATACAGCAGATATGTTATCGCTGAATCTCGCCCATCTTGCCGAATAAAGGTATTTATTGTTACTATTATTATTAAAAAATATTTATTTAAACAACAAAAATTGTACAACAGTTAAATGATTAATTCTTTATTCATCAGACGAGTTATTATGGTTCTTCTTCCGATTCCATTTCAGTTACCATTTCCAAAGGTGCATCATCTTCTTCCATCTCCTGCATTGCCATAGTTTCAGG